GGGATTAAATGAACAGGGCCAGGTGGATTACAGAATACGGAAGGAACGAGCAGGACCCCTTCTACTAAACTTGGAGGATTCCTGAAAGATGACAAAGCCACAAAAAAAACTGGGAGAGAAGGAGGATGATCCTACCTCCAGGAGAGAGAAGAAAAAGGATCCAAAATAAATAATAAGTCGTGTCCGCTTGACATTTGTTCTGGGCAGGACCTATGAATGTATTATGAAATATCATGCTTGATATTCAATGATACATTCAAGGGTCCTGCCCAGAACAGTCCTGCCCATGATGGGCTTGTCGAGTTGGAATACAGGTAGTCCTCGACTTTCAACAGTTCATTTAGTGACCGTTCAAAGTTACAATGGCATTGGAAAAAGTATCTTAGGACCCTTTTTTCACACTTACAAGTGTTACAGCGTCCCTGAGGTCACATGATCAATGGCCGGAAGTTGGCAAAGGGGCTGTTTCCGGCCTCCGGGGGAGTGGGGAAGGCTGTTTTTGCCCTCCCCAGGCTCCTAGAAAGCCTCCAGAGTATGGGGAAGGCGAAAAATGGGCCCACCCTGCCATCACGTGCCAAAAACGGGGAGAGCGAGGTGGGTGGCGGGGTGCATAGAATTATGGGTGTGGGCACGCACGTGCATGACCCCCCCATGCTCCCCCCGCTTTTGGCACGCAATGGCAAAAAGGTTAGCCATCACTGTCCTATCCTATATCCTATCCACTATATCCTATCCTATCCTATCTTCTACACCCTATCCCAGGGGTCGGCAACCTTAAACACTCAAAGAGCCACAAAAGTCCTAACTGGAAGCCCCCCCATTCAATTCTGGAGCCGACCGGAAGTCCAGTTCCCCCACCATAGAGTCTCCTCCTAGCGTGGCATCCTTTTTCTTCTACCTGTCCTAACCAAAAGTCCTATCAATTGTGGAGCCAGCCAGCGACAGGGAGCTGCAGCAGAGGGATGAAAGAGCCACATGCGGCTCCAGAGCTGCGGGTTGCTGACCCCTGCCCTATCCTATCCTATCCTATCCTATCCTATCCTATCCTATCCTATCCTATCCTATCCTATCCATCTCCTATTCTATTGCTGGAGAGAAAAGTTCCCTGAGGATGGGCTCCAGCAGCAGTCCAAAGGCTGGGAAGACAAAACCTCTTGTCCTGGTGACCGACCCAGATCGGATCCCACAATATTACCCTGGGACACTCTATTATTCGCCTTCCTTCATCGTTAAAAAGACTCTTGCTGCCGGGGTCTTCAGCAGATGTTGCAAGCATCTGCCAGCCGTTCCAGAGAGTCCTGCTGCCCTCTAGGGACCAAATCTTATTTCTGATTAAATCTTAAGAAGGTTGCCCGGTAAACCTCCCAAACAGTATTTACGTAACCTTCTACTTCTACTGTCTAATGTGGCATTTCGGTGAATCAAACTGGTTTGGTAAGATTTTCTTTCTTTCTTTCTTTCTTTCTTTCTTTCTTTCTTTCTTTCTTTCTTTCTTTCTTTCTTTCTTTCTTTCTTTCTTTTTCTTTCTTCTTTCTTTCTTTCTTTCTTTCTTTTTCTTTCTTCCTCTCTCTCTCTCTTTCTTCTTCCTTCCTTCCTTCCTTTCTTCTTTTCTTTCTTTCTTTTTCTTTTTCTTCCTTCCTTCCTTCCTTCCTTCCTTCCTTCTCATCTTGCCAATTCAAACTGCAACAGGCAAACTCATCTTTCCTATTCAAACTCTCATCTTGCTTATAACACAAACTACAAACCTTGAATTACAAGTTTGTTTAGTGACCGTTCAAAGTTTTACGACGGCACTGAAAAAGGTGACTTAGGACAGTTTTTCATACCTACGGCCTACTTATGAACTCGAATGCCATCAGAATTCGAACGCTTGGCAATTGGTTCGTATTTATGACCTCTGCTGTGTCCCGGGGTCACATGATCCCCTTTTACAACCTTCTGACAAGCAAAGTCAATGGGGAAGCCGGATTCACTGAACCGGGTTGCTAACTTATCAACTGCAGTGATTCACTTAACAACTGCAGGAAGATAGGTCGTACAGTGGGGAAAATGTCTCACTTAACAACAGGAATTTTGGACTCCATTGTGGTAGCAAGTCAAGGAGTATCTGTACAGTATTTATGATCGTGTATCACAATATGTTAATATATACCGTGTTTCCCCCAAAATAAGACCCTGTCTCATATTTTTTTGAACCCCGAAATAAGCACCTTAAACCTTATTTTCGGGGAGGTCTTGTTTTGGGGTGCGTGAAGCAAGACGGGGCTCCTCTTGCCGTCTTACCTGATTTCCAGCTCTGTGTTTAAATATTTTTGGGGAGGGTTTATTTTCGGGGGGAGGCTTATTTTAGCACATGCGCTCAAAAGCCTGATTGGGTTTATTATCAGGGGATGTCTTATTTTCGGGGAAACAGGTATTTACATTTACTTGTAAACAAAGAGAAACCTGAATTGGTCAAACTAATATCCTCTTTTTTAAATTTAAATTGTGATTTGTGTTGTGTTTTTACTTGGCTGTACACCGCCCCGAGTCCTTCGGGAGAGGGGCGGTATAGAAATAAAAATTATCCTTATCCTTATCCTCTGAAAATTCACATCATGTTTGTGACACAAAACTTTTCTGGATACTTCACATCAGAGGAAACCAAAGTTGTTGGACTACAGAACCTATCCTGACTGATGGGATCTGTATAAGCTGATTATGCAAGCTAAAGCTGAGAGGTTGTGGAGTTTATCGACGCTGGAACAGCCCAAATTGGTTGGGCACACCGCAGAAACATTTCTTTGTCAGCTAAAATAAAAATTTACAATTTAAAGGCAACAAATAAGAACTCAAATGAAAGCAGATTTTACCCATCAATTTAATATTCATTTATAAAATAAAATTGAGCATCTTGCACAGATAAAACTCCATAAAAGCTGTAAAGGGAAAAGAACACTGAAGTAGTACCTTTTAATAAAAATTAGTTTGTCGGAAAAAATGCTACCAGACTCCTGATTATTTTTTTTCCAGATTAACAGGGCTCTCCTATAAGAAGAGGAGAAACCCATTTGCATATAGGTTGAGTTATGAAGTGCTTCATATGTGAGAGCCAGTTTGGCTTTCTGGTTAAGACATCAGCGTAGAAACCAGGAGATGGTGAATATTTATGGAGAGTCTCAATTATCCAGGTCATGACTGTCCCAAAGGTACTTTTTTTCAAGAGGCAACTGGACTTTCTGGTTTTTCTTTGAAGATGTTTCGCTTCTCATCCAAGAAGCTTCTTCCACTCTGAGTGGATGGTGGGGAAGAGGACTTATACTCCTTGCAGACAGCTGGTCATTTGCATCCTTTTTAGAGAGTCGTTGAGGCCGCTTGGAGGTTTGTCTGTGTCCTCAGGGTCACCTGAGTGGTGCAAATGGGTGTGGAGCCTTCTTGGAGCTGCTGAAAGGACCATGTTGTCAGCACTTCAACCTGCATTCACTCTAGTGCTGACATAAGAAGGAGAAGCGAAGGCGTCTGGAAAGGGACAGCTGACTTTTCACCTACTTATTTTCCCTGGAGATAATGTTTCCGAGGAGATGAGATGGGAGGGGGTAATTCCTTTGAGTTGGAGTAGATTAGGGGTAGAATGACTTGGAAGATGGCCAATGAGTGCAGGGGAGTGGGGAACAGAAAGGGGGGGTTGGGGGCTGGACGTCAGTGTTGGCTTCGTTTTGAGTCAGGTTAGGATGTTGTGCTCAATAAAAAGGAGTTTTTTCTTCAAAGATTTTGTTTGAAATGCATTTTATTCGAGACGACCACAAAACTTGACACATGTTGTAGACTGGAGATAGATGATGTCGTATCCCTCCCCCTCTGTTGAGAGAGGGCTGTTCAATTTGGATACAGATGGCCATAGAATAGAATAGAATAGATAGAATAGTAGAGTAGAGAAGAGTTGGAAGGGACCTTGGGAATCTTCTAATCCAACCCCCTGGTTAGGCAGGAAACCCTATACCATTTCTTTGACCCCTCTTTCAAACCAGGGGTCCTCTCCTGTCCAGAATGTGGACTTTGCTGTCTTCCATTCTCCACCATCCAGTCAGAGCTGAAGAAGCTTCTCGAATGAGAAGAGAAACGTCTTCAAAGAGAAACAAAGAAAGTCCAGTTGCCGCTTGGAAAAAGCACCTTTGGGACAACCATGAGGATGCTGCAACGGCGGTGTGTGTGAAAAATGGCCATACATTGCTTTTCCCCCTGCTGTTGTAATTTAGAACGGTCACTAAATTAACAGTTGTAAGTCGAGGACGGCCTGTACCATAAAAGGAGACTGTAAGATATAAACGATCTGATGTAGCCTGGGAATACAATATTTAAACTGTTTCCAGGGTCAGACTTTCCCTTTTAACTGGTAATGGCTCACTGGAGTCTCATCTTGGAAGAAAAGACTTTATATCTAAGGCTGGTATAGAGTAACAGAGTTGGAAGGGACCTTGGAGGTCTTCTAGTCCAACCCCCTGCCCAGGCAGGAAATCCTACACCACTTCAGACAAATGGTTGTCCAATCTCTTCTTTCAAACTTCCAGTGTTGGAGCATTCACAACTTCTGGAGGCAACTTGTTCCACTGGTTAATTGTTCCCATTGTCAGGAAATTTCTCCTTAGTTCTAAGTTGCTTCTCTCCTTGATTAGTTTCTACCCATTGCTTCTTGTCCTACCCTCAGGTGCTTTGGAGAATAGCTTGACTCCCTCTTTTTTGTGGCAACCTCTCAAATACTGGAATACTGCTATCATGTCACCCCTAGTCCTTCTTTTCTCTAGACCGGACATACCCAATTCCAGCAACCGCTTTTCATATGTTTTAGCCTCCAGTCCACTAATTCTCTTTGTTGCGCTTTTCTGTACTCTTTCTAGAATCTCAACATCTTTTTTACATCATGACAACCCAAACAGTCACAGCGTATCCCTTAATTCTTTTCTTGGTACGCCTACCCCACCCATTCAAACTTTGTCGGAACCACACAACCGAAATGCACTCACAGAGGCAAAGGTGCCAATTTGCTTGATGTTCTGTTCGTAACTCTGAGAGCTGGTGGGTCTTCCCGGTGTCCGTCTGGAGTACCAGAAGGTGTAGTTATACTGCAGAGGGTGCTCAGCCGGTCCTGGAACCGCAGCCTGCGGGTGAAATTCAAAGCACTCATTTATCCCGATGCCTTTCTCAAAAGAGACATTGGCAAGCATTAGCAACCTGCCTTGTTCCCTGCCGGTTTTAGCTTCATTTTCTTCCTGAAATTCCATCTCTCTTGCTAGCTCGAAACAGACCATTTAGTCTGCCAGAAACTGACTATATTTCAAGTCGGAGATTAGCGGCGCCGGGTGCTTTGCTGGAGTTTCTCCAAATTGGCAGCGGACGAGGCTCCTGAGAGGCATCTTAAAAGTGGCTCGTTGCACAAGGCCAGTTCACGAACTCTGCTTACACGCCTTTATGTGCCTCTGGTTGGAGGAGAACAGCTCTTAAATGAAAACAACCTTGCGAGGCAACGAGGAATTTGTTTCCCTGCCTTGGCGTAAGGGAGCAGATGGAATTGAGTTGCTCTGACAAACGCCACAGGTGGTTTTTAAGCAAACCACGGTTAACAACTCGGCTCGGTTTTTAGATTTCCTGAATAGGCCAAGTCAGAAGTACAGCTCCCAACGAATAAAGGGGGAATCAAAATTAGCGATAGTAATAGTGCTTAAGATTTATATACCGCTTCGCAGTGCTTTTACAGCCCTCTCTAAGCGGTTTACGGAGTCAGCAAATTGCCCCCCAACAATCTGGCTCCCCATTTTACCGACCTTGAAAGGATGGAAGGCTGAGTTAACCTTGAGCTGGTCAGGACTGAACTTCTGGCAGTGAACAGAGTTAGCCTGCAATAGCAATGGCACTTAGACTTATATACCGCTTCACGGTGCTTTACAGCCCTCTCTAAGCGGTTTACAGAATCAGCGTATAAATTGTTTCAATTTCTACCCTCAAAACGACGCTTATAGGGCTCTGCACACCAGAACAACAAGACACAAGGACAGTTTGTTCCCGAATGCCATCATTCTGCTAAACAACTAATTCCCACAACACTGGCAAATTAACTACTAAGACTGTATTACTGTTCTTGTTCTCATCCTTCCTGGTACCTATCTCTTCCCGCTTATGGCTATATCTATGTTGCTTGTATCTTTACTGTTAGGATATGGTGTAAGCCTAACAGGTTGTCCAGGCAATATATGGACAATATATGTGTTCTATGACTTTAACATGAATATGTATTCTATGACTTTAAGAAGTACTGCTGAGTCATTGTAATGCTGAGTCATTGTATCCTGATTGGATAAGCTCTGTTGTAACTGTATTTAAGAAGGGAGCTGAAATGTAGTCATTGATGATATGCTATCATCGTGGGTGGATGTGCTACCATCGTGGGTGGATATGCTATCATCGTGGGTGGATATGCTACCAGCGTGACCTGTTACCAGCGTGAATGTGCTGCTGTTTATTACCTACTGCTGTTTTGTATGGTAAGAAGACTTTTGTATCACTGGACTGATTTGACTGGCAAAGACTTGGATTGATTAAAGACTATGAGATTGTTTTTCGCTACAAAGTAAAAACTTTGATAAACCAGTTTGAATGTATTTTATTTATTGCTCTCAGCACCGTTTCCCTGTGCTCTACGCTCTGCTGTTTGGTTAACACAACAATATCCTTAACATTTACAATTTATATTGTTTTATCGTTTCCTAGTATGATTTGATTGCTTATTAGTATCCTATGACCATCACTAAGTGTTGTATATATTTTATTTTTTCTTTTATGTACACTGAGAGCCTATCCACCAAAGACAAATTCCTTGTATGTCCAATCACACTTGGCCAATAAAGAATTGAATTCTATTCTATTGAATTCTATTGAATTGAATCGAATTGAATTCTATTCTATTCTATCCTATTCCATTCCATATTTTCTATTCTATTCTATTCTATTCTATTCTATTCTATTCTATTCTATTCTATTCTATTCTATTCTATTCTATTCCATTCCATTCCATTCCATTCCATTCCATTCCATTCCATTCCATTTCCAATAATTTGGGTCGTTATTTTACCGACCTTGGAAGGAAGTCAACCTTGAGCCGGTCAGAATTGAACTGGTAGCAGTGGGCAGAGTTTGCCTGCAATACTACATTCTAACCACTGTGCCACCCACAGCTCTACTACTATTAATCAAACATAAGTAAAGACTGGAAGTTTTATATTTCAAAGTCAGCCTATTGCCCCCAACAATCAGGCTTTTACCGACCTGGAAGGCTGGGAGACTTGAGTCGACCTTGAGCCGGTCACGATAAAACTCCTGGCAGTGGGCGGAGTGAGCCTGCAATGCTACATTCTAACCGCTGCGCCACCACGACTCAAGATCTGCTATAAATTCTTCCCCAAAACGTTGGCCAAGTAAAAGCTCCCGGAGAGAAGCCTTTTTCTTTCCACCATGATGACTTTTTTTTTTTTTTGAAGCCTAAAATCCTATCTTCCCTGCAGTGCTCACAAAATAGCCGCCTTCATGGTGATGGGGTTTGAGTTTAAATCGGTGTCTGGAGTCCATTTCTGCAGCTTCGTCTCCCTTCCCACCCTGTTATAAAGACTAAAGGTTAAGATTTCTTACACTGCAAAGGGTCCTGCTTCTCCTGTTCTAGTTGCTCTGATTTGGGGTGGGTGGGCATGTGCTCCCCTCCTTCCACTGTAGATCGTTCTTGACTTACGACTACAATTGAGCCCAAAATTTATGTTGCTAAGCAAGACAGTCATTCAGTGAATTTTGTTCCATTCTCTGACTGTTGTGGTCCACCGGTGGCCTGCGGAGTTGGTAGCAGAGTCGGACAGTGAGGAGGCTGGGGAGGACCATGGGCGAGTCCTGGAGTCTGGGGAAGGCTCGGATGAGGACTCTGCGTCGGAGGCAGAGAACGGGCCATCTGGGAGATACGTGCTGCCTCCAGAGACGGACCTCAGCGAGGCAGAGGAACAGGGGGAGCCTGTTCCCAGTGCACGCATGCACAGAGCTGCCAGAAGGCAAGAACAGTTAAAACAAAAGGGACGACTCAGGAGTAAGGCTTGGAGATGATTGGCCCCTCCCATAAGACTTCTGCCGACTTCTGCCACCAATAGCCTCCCACCGGCCAGTCCGCTCCCACAGAGAGGGTCTCCTCAGGGTGCCATCGGCCAAGTTATGTCGGCTGGCGACACCCAGGGGGAGGGCCTTCTCTGTGGGAGCCCCAGCCCTGTCGAATGAACTGCCCCCGGAAATACGTAAGATCTCCAACCTCTGGGTGTTTCGCTGTGCACCGAAGACCCTGTTGTTCCGCCAGGCCGGGCTATCAACATAATAATTTTAAATTGGAGTATTTTAAATTTCTGGGGTTTTAAATTGAGCCGAATTTATTTAATAATTTTAAATTTTTAATTGATGTTTGTCTTGTGTTTTTAAATAGGCTGTACACCGCCCTGAGTCCTTCGGGAGAAGGGCGGTATAGAAATAAAATTATACTTATACTTATACTTAAAAGAGGAGCAAAGGCACGCGGGCCTTTGCAGGAAGCAACTGTTGTTAATTCTGTTCAGTTTAAAGTCTGAAGCTCTGTTTAATTCTGGACTCCGTGTGGCTTTGCCAATTAGATCTTTGGCAGCGTGTCAAGGGAGATAAAGGTGGGTGATTATCAGCCTTATCCCGAAGGACTCTTTACAACTATTTGGGACTCGTCTGTGAATGAACAGAATTCACAGCTGTTGAAATAAAAGAGGCTTTGGGGACTACTCGTGTGTTTTACTGACTCAGGAAGCCTAGGTCAGGTACCGATCTTGTCATCTGCAGTGAATCTCTGCAGCTGTGCTTAGTAACATGGTTATTAAGTGAATCTGGCTTCCCCGTTGACTTTGCATGTCAGAAAGATCATGAAAGGTGATCACATGATCCCAGGACTCTGCAGCCTTCATAAATACATGTCAGTTGACAAGCATCCAAGTTGTGATCACAAGATCATGGGAATCCTAAAGGTGCTTTTTCCAAAGGCAAAACTGGATTTTGTTTTTCCTTGAAGATGTTTCGCCTCTCATCCGAGAAGCTTCTTCAGTTCTGACTTCTTCAAGTTGAGTTCAGAACTGAAGAAGCTTCTTGGATGAGAAGTGAAACGCCTTCAAAGAAAAACAAAGAAAGTCCAGTTTGCCTCTTGAAAAAAGCACCTTTGGGACAACCATGACCTGGATGACTGAGAATCTCCATAGGGGAATGTTGCAACGGTCGTAAGTGTGAAAAATGGCCATTTTTCAGTGCCACTGTAACTTCAAAGAGTCACTAAATAAATGATTGTAAGTCCCCGAAATCACGTGATTAAAATTCAGACACTTGGAAAACTGACTCATATTTATGACGGTTCCAGTGTCTTTTGCGATCTTCTGGCAAACAAAGTCTGGGAAACCAGATTCACTTAACAACCATGTTACTAACTTAACAGCGGCAAGTGATTCATTTTACAACTGTGGCAAGAAAGGTCATATAAAATGGGGGCAAAACTCGCTTAACAACCATCTCACTTAGGAACAGAAATGTTGGGCTCAACATTTGGGTCGTAAGTTGAGGACTCCCTGTATTTTGCCCACAGTTGATGCAGACCCTTCTAAGAGTTTAGCTGAAGCTCCTCCAAATCTATCAGACTATGATCCGGGAGCTGGTTAGAAGGGCTGAGGGTTGCAATTCCCACTGATCTGGAGGGCCCCAGCTTGGGGATGAAGGATCACCTTCTGAGAACTGTAATCCACTGATCTCTGATCTATAGTCTCTAGAGAAAAGACAGGGACATACCTTCCTCTTGGTGCTGTTTTGGGGTTTGTCTTTATCGTTTTTTTCCTTCTCACCATCTTTCTGTGTGCTGTTCTCTTCATTCTGGTCATGATCGCCACTGTCGTCATCCTTCAAACTAGCAAAAAAAAGGAAAGGAAAGAAAGAAAAAGTAGCTTGAAAGAGAGAAGTCCTGCTTCTGCTTCGAGATTGGGAAAAAAAAAGCCTTCGTGACTTTGAGTTCAGACTAGGGATGGTTGGATAAGCTACAGGAGGTATACCACCCAGTGTGCTTTGTTTGATTTAAAAAAAAAAAGAATTTATTTTTTATTTATTTTATTTATTAGTTCGATTTATATGCCGCCCTTCTCGGGAGACTCAGGGCGGTTTACAATGCATTAATAAATACATGTGTTCCGGTGATACACGGAGTCAAAGCCAAAAAATAACAACTTTGTCTGATGGCCTTAGATATTAAAAAATAAAATAAAAAAGGATTCCTGAGTTTCATTAGAGGGCTTGTCATCATACACAGCGGGAAAGCACCAACCCGTTTTATCTTCCAACTTTTCGGTCAAATTATTTCCCAACTTCAGAAGCTAATCAATGCCACTGAGAGGAAAAACTGCGGAAGTTCCCTTCTCAAGGCAGAGAGGGTTAAATTCATAAGCCTCTAAAGCAAGGGTCCCCAAACTTCGCAACTTTAAGACTTATGGACTTCAACTCCCAGAATTCTCCAGCCAGCGTACCATAGCTGGCTGGAGAATTCTGGGAGTTGAAGTCCAAAAGTCTTAAAGCTGCCAAGTTTGAAAACCTCTGCTTTAAAGCAATAATTTAGCTATCTGTCTCAACTTAATCCAAGCTTCCTTATTTATTTCTAAGTGCAGAAGAGAGGGGTGAATGTGAACGACAGAGGAACAATCAGAGGTGTGTGGGGTTTTTTTGAGAAACCATTTTCCTGGACCAAGTAGAATTGTTTTCCCGTGGTTATATCAAGCAGCGTTTTTATTTTCTCCAAGGCAAGAAAATACCCATCACCGTGAGAGGGAGGTGGAAGGGAGAGGAAGGAGAGATTATTTTAGCATCATTTCCATTTTTTGAAAAAAATTACACGCGTGGGCCAAGGCATTCGTTGCAAGGCGTTAATTTCACACAGGTGACAATTACGTGCCCGACTTGGAAGTCCGGTGGAGTGAAGGAGGAAAAAAAAACCCAGCTCTGTTGGAATCTCTACTCAGTGAAAGCTTTTTTCACTGACCTTCGTAACTTACCTAACAGGACTTTGAGAATGACAAGGGGGACTATATGTCCTGTATTGAGAAAAACAAGAAGAGTGAATGACAATAATAACTTCCGTTCAAGAAGAGTTTGTTCAAAGCCGCTGTCCGAGAGCTAAATGAATTTATTCCCACAATCCTGACAAGTGGAGTGAAATTTAGAGATTGGCCTTCATTGATGGACAAATTATTCCATCTAAGCCTATTTTCCCCCCTCTTTTTCACATGACTCTTATGGCTGGACCTGAGAATGCAAACTGAACTAGCTGCTGATTATAAATCATTAAGGTAATGGTTAAGTTAAAAGGTATTTTTAAAAATCAACAAGCTTCTCCTTTTAGCATTATCGGGGGGTCTCCAACCTTGGCCACTTTAAGACTTGTGGACTTCAAATCCCAGAATTCCTCAGCCAGCAAAACCGTAAGACTTGTGGACTTAACAACCAAGTGACTAACTTAGCAACGGTGTGATTCGCTTTAACGACTTTGGCAAGAAAGGTGGTAAAATGGGGGCAAAAGTCATTTAACTCTCTTGCTTAGCAAGAGAAACGTTGGGCTCCATTTTAGTCGTAAATCGAGGACTAGCTGTACTGACAGTCCCCCAATTCATAAAAGGCAGGCTGCTAGAGATCGCGCTTCCAATGAAGATCTGTGACGGATCGTTCTCCTATATTCTGTCTCTGCAACCAGATGCTACTTTAAGCTTCAAAGGCTGGACCAGCCTGTTAGGACTGTGAAATCCTTCGCAGGTGACTCCAGAGATCCTTTGAAGACTTGGCTCAGCACCTGTCCCAATATTTCACACAGCAGCTGTGTATTCAAAGATCACAGAGCACCTGAAAAGGTCAGCCACAAACACATCTGCTTTAGATAGTTACTATGTTGGCAGCACTCAAAGCGTATCAAACACAAAGCAGCTAGTGTTTCCCCTCGAAGTATATAGGCTGTGCTTTTTTCCCTTCTTCTTCAGATTAACCGAGTGTTAATCCTTTGGTTGTGACAGGGATTAATCGACCAATTTGTCACTCAAGTCTCACATCATGGGCTAAGGGAAAAAGGACTGGCCCCAAAGCCACCCAGCCGGCTTTCATGCCTAAGGCAGGATTAGAACCTGCAGCTTCCTGGTTTCTAGCCTGATGCTTTAATCCCTGGGCCAAGCCGGCTCTCAAACATGAAATTTTACCAGGGTGGATAAAAATCGATGATTTTTTAAAAATAAAATTAAAAATTGGATTTTTTAAAAAAAATTAAATTGGATTTTTTTTATTTTTATCAAATTTATTTTAATAAAATGATTTTGGAGTAAAAATCTATCTAAAGATAGCTTTCTATTTAAGATACATAATTTAGTTTATTCAGCATGAAGGTACGTAGCGTGAGGCTGTATATTCTGCAGTATTGGGACTGTCGGTAAGTCAACAGCGAGTCAGAGGAGTAGGAGAGATGACAGTTGCTCTTTAAAAATTATGATTTAAATCGAGTTGATTTAAATGAAGCCTTTTTGCTAGTGATTTAAATCGTGATTTAAATCAAATCCACCCTGAGCCCTACATAACCTTATTGTATATGCACCAGCCTACTTAGTTGCCTAATTTATGAAGGAAAAAAAAAAGATTATTTTAAGTTCAGTTTTACATTCCTTTGTCTCTCTTCTTTGGGGATATTTTATGTTAAAAATGTCAGATTTGCCTGTATATTATATATATATATATATAAAAACGAGCGTCAACAACTCCACGTCTCCAATATTTAAGACCATGCTTGATTTTATCTCATTCCCATCAGCAAGTCCACAAATATCCTGTTCTGCTTAACAGAGACGATGGGCACAGTAGTCCAACACAGCTGGAGGATGTCAGCAAGGGAAATTTAACTTTAAAGCAGCATCTAATTTTAAAGCAGATGCATCCATTCCCAAACAGGTTCCTTCTTTAAGTGGTAAATCTGAATTTACCCGAACAAGCAAACGTTTTAAAAAACAACGCTCCAATCTCTCAATTTGGATAACAATAATACACCAGGGTTACGAAATTAAAAATGGAAAGCTTGACAACTGAAAGACATAGCAAATAAATATTTGTTGTGGTAGATAAAGGAACTCTGAAAGCTTTCTATCAATATTATGGCTGTTGAATATTTCGCCTGTCATATACAGTACTTTGCCAGGGGGAAAAAAAAAACTCCCTTCAGTCGATTAGGAGTAATAGAAAGGACTATAAAATAAAGCAATACCTGCAAATAGTTGACCTAATTATTATGTGGAAGTAGTAGTTTCAATAGGCATAACTATAAAAATCTCTCTTTGATGCACAATAGTTATTAAGAAGAAAAGGTTCTTTGGCATCTATTACCCCTTAAAGTTAAGACGCACCTTTTACCTCCCTAAAAGGGGGTGAAAATTTAGGTGCATGTTATACACCGAATGTAGCCCCGCCCACCCACTGGCCCCCACCCTTTGGCCTCTGCCTCCCAGCAGTTTACCTCCTTGCAAGCAAACAGCAAGAAAAATCAGCTCCTTTCAGCTTCAGCACAGCCTAATTAGCACAAGTTGATTGGATCGGCCTCCCGACTCTCAGCTGATTTGCTCTCAGCTGTTTTGCGCAGGGCTCTGCTGCTTGCTGCAAAGAGGTAAATTGCTGAAGCAGATTTCTTTTCCCCCTTGTGCTAATCAAGCTATGCGGAAAACGAAAATGAAAGTAAAGCAGGCTGTTTGCTGCAATGAGGCAAAATTGCTCAGAGGCAGAGGGAGATTTCTTTTTCTTCTTTTCCTCACCAAAAAAGGTAGGTGCGTCTTATATTCCGGTGCATTTTATACTCCGAAAAATACGGTATTTAACAAGGACCACGAGGAAAGAAGCTGTGTTAATGTCAGCTGACATAAATATAGTAAATGACAATTTCTCTCTTATGGCTGGGCTGGGCTTGAGCTCTTTTGCATCCCCTGATACAGGGAGTCCTCCATTTACAATTGTTCGCTTAGTGACCGTTTGAAGTTACAACAGCACTGAAGAAACTGACTGATGATCATTTTTCACGCTTACGACCCTTGTAGCATCCTCATGGTCACGTGATTTACATTCGGATTGCTCGACATCCGACTCACATTTATGACAGTTGCAGTCTCCTGGGAGGAGGGGGGCACGTTTTACGACCTTCTGACAATGGGGAAGCAAGATTCACTTAACAACCGTGTGACTAATTTAAAAAACTGCAGTGATTCACTTAGCAAAGGTGGCAAGAAAAGTCGTAAAACGGGGCAAGACCCCACTTAACAAATTTCTCACTTAGCAACATAAATGTTGTGCTCAATTGTGGTTGTAAGTCAAGGACTACCCGTACTTGGTCCTCGGTTGACCTCAAAAGGCCAGGACTTTTCGAGTCCTTGGAAAGGAGACGACTAAGAAACAGCAGAGCTGTCTCAAAGGTGTTTTTTTTCAAAAGGCAACTGGACTGTTTTTCCTCGAGGAAGAAGAAGTGGTAGATGTTTCTCTTCTCATCCAAGAAGCTTCATCAGGTCTGGATGGATGGGGGGGGGGGGAGAGTGGAAGGATTGTGAAGCTTCTTGGACGAGAAGTGAAATGTCTCCTCCTCCTTCAAGAAAACACACAACCCAGTTGCCTTTTAACAGAATGCCAAAGTTGGAAGGGACCTCAGAGGTCTTCTAGTCCAACCCCCTGCTCGAGCAGGAGATCCTTCACCATTTCAGACAAACGGTTGTCCAATCTCTTCTTAAAAACCTCCAGTATTGGAGCACCCACAACTTCTGGAGGGGAGTCATTTTGAAAAAAAAAAAACCTTTGAGACAAGCATGATTTGGATGTCTGAGAATCTCCATAGACAGCAGAAGCTGTGGACTCACCCAAGACCCTCTTGATGGCCAAGACAATGTCAGGAGGGACCTTGGAGGCAGCTCTTGAAGGCTGCTCAGGGGGGAGGAAGGAGCTGCAAAGATCCAGGACTTGAATCCAGGCCTTCTGGCAAGACTCCCCACCAAATAAAAGCTGTCCCAGGCTTGGGAAAATTGACTCCTGCAGACCCTCTGACAGCCATCCACCTGCGGGGACCCCAAGGCTGCCATGAGCTTCATATGACTCTGACCAGCCACAGGTAGCCCTTGACTTACAACAGTTTGCTTAGAGTCCATTCGAACTTACAACAGCACTGAAAAAAGCGACCGATGACTATTTTTCACACTTATGACCGTTGCAGCATCCCCCATGGTCATGCGATTTACATGTGGATCAGGGGTGAAATGCTTCCAGTTCGGACCAGATTGCCCGATCCAGTAGCGATGGAGGCAGGTGGTTCGGAGAACCGGTAGCAAAAATCCCTGCCCCCCCCCATACCCAGCTGAGCCGCACAATCATCAGAGGCTTTTTTTAACTTTTAAAAGCATTTTTTCTACAACCTCTTGGGCCAAAAAATGCTTTTAAAAGTAAAAAAAAAAGCCTCTGATGATCAGGCAACTCAGCTTGGATTGTCAGAGGCATTTAAAAGAAAAAAAGCCTCTGACGATCAGGCAACTCAGCTGGGATCGTCAGAGCCTTTTGAAAGCATTTTTTTACAACCTCTTCACTGAAGAGGTTGTAGAAAAAATGGTTTTAAAAGTAAAAAAAAAAAATTGGCCACGCCCACCATCACATTCCCCCACCACCACCAAGCCACGCCCACAGAACCGGTAGTAACAAATTTTAGATTTCACCACTGATGTGGATGCTTGACAACTGATTCACATTTATGATGGCTGCAGTGTCCCGGGGTACAGATAGTCCTCTACGTACAACCCCAATTGAGCGCAACATTTATGTTGTTAAGTGAGACATTTGTTAAGTGGGTGTTGCCCCATTTTACGACCATTAAGTGAATCACAGCCGTTAAGTTGGCAACAGGGTTAAGTGAATCAAAAGGTTGCAAAAGGGAACCCCATGACTTCGAACGGCCATAAATATGAGTCAATTGCCAAGCATTCTGAATTTTGACCACGTCACCATGGGAAGGCTACAAAGGCCGTAACTGTGAAAAATGGTCGTTAAGTCACTTTTTTCAGCAACGTCGTCACTTTGAACGGTCACTTAAGTGAACCGTTGTAAGTCGAGGACTGCCTGTACTATGATCCCCTTTTGCGACCTTCCGACAAGCAAAGTCAATGGGGAAGCCAGATTCGCTTCACAACCATGATGTAACAATTTCCCAACCAAGATTTAACAACAAGTGCAGCGATTCGCTTAACGACTGTGGCAAGAAAAGTCGTAACATGGGGCAATACTCACTTAACACATGTCCCACTTAGGAACATCAATTTTGGGGTCTATTGTTGTCGTAAACTGAGGATTACCTGTATGTCCATGGAGAAAGCCAAGACTCTCTCAGACACGAGAGAGAAGGGCCCCCCGCTGCCTTTTCTGGGCGTGCGGTTTGAGTCATTCCCCCCCCGGGATTTCTTGGTGGTCTCCCTTCCGAGGGTTCCTGGGGAGGAGCTGTGATTTGGCTTCCATACAGGTAAGTCCTCAACTTACATCAGTTCGTATAATAGTCAAAGTTACGACGACACTGAAAAAAGGTGACCTATGACCATTTTTCACAGTTACGACCTTTGCAGCATCCCCGCGGCCACGTGATCAGAAATCAGGTGCTTGGCAAACGGTTCGTGTTTATGACCGTTTGTTGTCATATTTATGAGACGTGTGTGACCTCCTGATAAGCAAAGTCAAGGGAGAAGCCAGATTCACTTAACAACCGGGTTACTGACTTTTTATCAACTGCGGCGATTCACTTAACAACCGTGGCAAGGAAGGTCGTAACATGAGGCAAGGCCCACCTGACAAACGTCTCCCTTAACAGCAGAAATGTGGGGCTCCGTTGGGGTCGTAAGTCGAGGACTACCTGTACCCTCCTCCCCCTCCCCCACATTCCGGAAACAGCTGCTTTGACATTCCTGCTGGCTTTGGGGGGGGGGGTGTCTTTATTTATGACAATGAGGACTAGAACCTTGGCTCTGGCTTGAGGAAGCCGAAGCCCCGGAGCCTGTCAGGTTTTAGCGTCTTTGGGAGCCCGGAGCAAAGGGGGGGGGGGATTTCGGCGAACCCCGCCTTCCCCCCCCCCCCCCCCCCCCCCCCGGGGCCCGACCGCCGACGGGCCGCGGCCCCCCCCCCCCCCCCCGCCCCCCCCTCCGAGACCGGGAGGCCGACGCGAAGATCTCCCCCTCGGCCCTTGCCCCGCAATGCCGCGGCGTCCCGACTCACTCACGCGTCGAATTTGTTGTTCATCCTCCTCGCTCCGTCACTCGAAGCCGCTTCGCTTCCCCTCAGCCGCACGACTTCCGTTCAGCGGCCTGCCTCCTCTCTTCCATTCGCAGTCTTCCCCCACTTCCGGCCCGGCGGAACCTTTGTCCTTAGGCCGGCGGGTTCTGCTCGGCCCGAGAAGCCGGTAGCACTCCGGCTCCTCGGGACTTTCTTGACTGCGGAACTCTATGGTTGGTCCCTCTAGCTCTCGTCATCCCTTGTGCTGTGAAGTCTCGTAGAGCAAAGATAGAAGAGGAGCCGCCTCCGTTTGAGCGGATAGGCTGTTTCCGGGGTCGCGTGTTTCAAAATCTGAGAACATAGAACATAGAAACTACGGCAAAGCTGAAATGCGCAATTCTTTAAAGCAGGTTTTGCGCTACGTGGGGAGGGCTGGGAAGCCAAAGGCTGAGTGTGCCTTCAGAAGTTGTGGTCAACACTGCAGGGCAATTGTGGCTCTTTTACAACCTGTGGACTTCAACTCCCAGAATTCCTGAGACAGCTTGGCTGTCTCAGGAATTCTGGGAGTTGAAGTCCACAGGTTGTAAAAGAGCCACAATTGCCCACCCCTGGATAAGCTCTCCTGTTCGAGCAGGGGGTTAGACTAGATGACCTCCGAGGTCCTTTCGGCCTCTGTGATTCTATATTCTACGTGGCTCAGTCAGCTAAAGCTGTCCTTGCGGGCATTTTAGAGCACCACACGCCCGCTTAACCTGGTCCCTGAATTAGACTATATAGAACATTAAACATCAGAGTCGGAAGGGACCTTGGGAGGTCTTCTAGTCCAACCCCTGAATGAACTCACATTCTGAGCACACAAAATATGCTTGAGGATAATCAGAGGAGCAGTTTTCACCAAAGACAGCAGCCAAGCTTAGCACGTTGTACAAATACACCTGCTAGTTGGGATTCTTGGTCTTCTTCCTGCTGATATTTTGATATTTGTGGGCTAGATAGCATCACTGGTGCATATTTGGGCCATTCAGCAGGGCTTTCCCTGAGCGGCTTACGTATGTTTACAGGGACACGGGCTTAGAAAATAAACAGAAATAAAGCTTTCTTGCTGGCAGATACAAGTAGTCCTCGACTTACGACCACAACGGAGCCCCACATATCTGTTGTTAAGCGAAACATTCGTCAAGAGAGCTTTGCCCCATTTTATGACCTTTCCTGACACAGTTGTTAAGTGAATCACTGCAATTGTTAAGGTAGTTACCAGTGAAGGGAAACAATAATGATACAATAAATAATACTAGAATATAATAGAATATGATATACTAGATTCGGTTCCTGTAATGCATATATGCCTTTGTATTTGTATCACATATATTATGCCTTTATATTTGTATCTCCTGTAACAAACATATTCTGTTATTAGGCCTGTGTAATGTCTCTGCTATTTGTCAAATGTATGTTCCTGCCATATGATCTGAACCCATGTGCCGTCTAAGAGCACGGTAGGTATCTCAGTTGGAACTGCAGACATCATCCGAGGGATAATTTACACTTCAGCTCTAATTTACACCTTTGATCTGTATGAGCTCCTTCCTTGCAGAACCAGGGGGCCAAATGAGCAATTGGGAGAACAAAGGAACGCTCAAGAAAAAAGATAACGCTAATTGGGAGGCTTCTATTCCTTTGCAGGGCAACAAGGAATACACAAACCTAAACGAGGAGGCCAGAATTTGGGTACTAAGCTGATGTCTCTGAGGGTATAAAAAGGACGCCATACCTTCCCCAAGGTGGGGCTATCTCCTCACACGCAATTGTATCTGTATGTTCTGGGTATAGTCCCACCCAGTATTTTGTTTTTGGCCATAAATAAAATCTGCTGCTTTTTGCAAGCCTCGTCTTGAGTCTCTCTCTTTCGCATTCTGGTGACTCAAGTATATTTTGGGACCTTACACCAGGTTGTTAAGGGAATCTGGCTTCCCTGTTGACTTTGTCAGGAGGTTGCAAAAGGGAATCATGTGATCCTGGGACACTGCAACTAACACGACCATCTGAATTTTGACCACATGGCGTGGGGATGCTGCTGTGGTTGTAAGTGTGAAAAACGGTCATAAGTCACTTTTTTTTCCAAGGCTGTTGTAACTTCGAATGGTCACTAAATAGTTGAGGACTATGTGTGTTAGGTTATCCCTAAACCAGCGTTTCTCAACTTTGACACCTTTAAGAGAAGTGGACTTCAGCTCCCAGAATTCCCCAGCCACCTGGGGGTCGAAGTCCACCTGCAGAAAGTCCTCGATTTAAGACCACAGTGGAGCCTGGAATTTCGGTTGTAAACCATTATGGTTGTAAGTTGAGGCACTACGCGGCTGGACTCTTATTTTACAACTGTTTCTGTGACTATTGTAAAGGGAGTCACCATGGTCAAAAGTCAAATCATGTGGTCATTAAGGAAATCATGGGATTGTTAAGTGTTAATCCATTTTAGGAATGGATGTTTTCCTCCATCCATCCATCAATTCCCACAGCCACTCATTTCAGTCAATGACTCTGGGTGGCTTACAATTCTGGGTAACTTCAAACCAGTGATGAAATCTAAATTTTGTTACTACCTGTTCTGTGGGCGTGGCTTAGTGGGGGGGGCATAATGTGACTGCGTGGACATGGCCAATTTTTTTTTTTTTACTTTTAAAATCATTTTTTCTACAACCTTTTCGGCGAAGAGGTTGTAAAAAAATGCTTTCAAAAGACTGACGATCCCAGCTGAGTTGCCTGATCGGCAGAGGCTTTTTTTCTTTTAAAAACTTCTGACGATCCAAGCTGAGTTGCCTGATCGGCAGAGGCTTTTTTTCTTTTAAATGCTCTGACGATCCAGCTGAGTTGCCTGATCGTCAGAGGCATTTAAAAGAAAAAAAAGGGTTTTTTTTTTACTTTTAAAAGCATTTTTTTCGGTCGAAAAAGAGGTTGTAAAAATAGCCTCTGATGATTGTGTGGCTAGCGGGGGGGGGGGGGGGGGGGGGGGGGCAGGGGATTTTTGCTACCGGTTCTCCGAAACACCTGCCTCCATCGCTACCGGATCGCGTGATCCGGTCCGAACCGGGAGCAATTCACCCCTGCTTCAAACGGTCATTAAACGAACTGTTGTAAGTCAAGGACTACCAGTACTTACTTACTTACTTACTTACTTACTTACTTACTTATTTATTTATTGGATTTATATGCCGCCCTTTCTCCACAAGGACTCAGGACGGGTCTCAGCAATAAACAACAAGAAGTCCAAATTAAAATTCAAACAATAAAAGAATCTAAAATTCCCATTAAAACCCCTTATGCCAGGAAGCTTTGGAATATCTGTCATGGATGACAGCCTATTCCCTTTTAATGGAGTTGCCGTTCGGTAGAAGACTTATAAATACATCTGGAGCTCAGGAACCCCTGAAACAAATTTCAGCACACCCTCATGCTTTCCCACCATCCATCAGCAAATCTTGTGACATTTAAGAGTGTTGCATCAGCAAGAGAAGTAGTAGCAGATGGTCCTGCTACTCCAAGGAATGTCCACATTTCAAGCCTTCAGGCAGAACATCCCGCAATCCATCAAGGAATAACGTGTGTGTGGGAAGGGGGCTGCTCCCTGGGCTGGGGTTGTGCAACAGACCTTGAAGGCAGGGGTGAAATGCTCCCGGTTCGGACCGGATCGCCCGATCCAGTAGCGATGGAGGCGGGTGGTTCGGAGAACCAGTAGCAAAAATCCCTGCCCCCCCCATGCCCAGCTGAGCTGCGCAATCATCAGAGGCTTTTTTTTTTAATTTTTAAAAGCATTTTTTCTACAACCTCTTTGGCCGAAAAAATGCTTTTAAAAGTAACAAAAAAAAAAAAAAAAAAGCCTCTGATAATCGCGATTAAGTCTATCCTTTCTCTAGACTAGCCAAATCCAAATCCTGCAACTGTTCTTCATATATTTTAGTCTCCAGGCCTTTAGTCATCTTAGTTGCTCTTCTCTGCGCTGTTTCCAAAGTCTCAACATCTTTTCTGTACTGAAGCATAGACTCAAATCATCTTCTGACGATAGACAACTTTTAACTCATGTGGATCCCCTTGACCTAACCAATCCTTAAGCTGTATGTCATTAGAATGTTCCTTTCTTCTGACAACTTAGAGGCCTCCTAGAGGTACCAAAAGGATTTTGGCTGAGTTTGTACTTTTTCCAACCGGATGCATTGCTTTTTAGAATAGAGTGAATAGAAAGTTATCCAGTGGTCATCTATCAGAGCCCGCTTCATTTACATTATGGTGACCAAAACTAAATGCAGTATTTCCGGTGTGGCCTTACTAAGGTTTTATAAAGCGGTACGAATACTTCACGAGATTTTGATTCTATTTATTTATTTAATTTATTTATTAGTCATATTTCTATGCCGCCCACTCTCCGAGGACTCTGGGCGGCTTACACCAAAGACAGTATACTAAATAGCATATTGCCCTCAACAATCTGGGTCCTCATTTTACCCACCTCGGAAGGATGGAAGGCTGAGTCAACCTTGAGCCGGTGAGATTTGATCCGCTGATCTGCTGAATGAGCAGTCAGCTGAAGTAGCTGCAGTACTGCACTCTAACCACTGCGCCACCTTGGCTCATGCCTCTCCTTATACAACCAAGGATTCTATTAGGAAGAGGAAGATAAGGACCATGGGATCTTTGGTGCTCAGAGTGTGGTTGTTTTCTTGAAGACATTTCATTACCCAACTAGGTAACATCATCAGTGCTAGAAGGGAGTGGGGTTTCCTCTCAATTTATATACTAGCGGCTTGCCAAACCACTGTTAGTGGGTGTGATCTGTGTGGTTTTTGATTGGGCTGTTATTTGCTTTAGCCTGGTTGGCAGTTCCTTGATTGGATTTGCCTCTTGATTGTTGCTCTAATGTTAGTCTTGGTGCTCATCTAGTTGTTGACTGCTGGTGGGAGAAGTGTTTTGGCCCCTTTGTTTCTTTTTCACTTTTGATTGTTTCTTTTGAATGGCGCGTACACGTTGCTGATGTCTATGTGTCTGTTGATGGCCGATTTGTCCGAGTGCCAGGCTTCTAATGTTTTTGGAATTGGCTTGGTTCTAGGACAGGGGTCTGTAACCTTAAACACTCAAAGAG